GACACAGAATTTGATTTTGCAAAGCCCCCAAGGGTGTGTTTTGGTTTTGCAATATAAACCTCAATATGACAACGGTTGTCATTTTGGACTGCCAGCCTGCGGCAAGCAGCTAATACCCTCAAAACTTCTTAAGAAGGATACCACAGAATGAATGGAGAACAGCACCCTAATTCAACCCATGGCAAGAAATGCTGCAAGGCTGTGGATTGACTACAGGTCAAAATTAGCAGCTAGAAACAAGAAATCAACAATTAAGTCTTATCAATGCTGAAAGATGAGAATCAGCTGAGGTAGCACTAGCTTTGCCCTCCACAGATGCAGACTGACAGGTATAGGGACCTAATTGTTAAAGAGGAAGGGTTAAAAGAAAGCAAGTCTTCAGGCATCTTCAGTCTGTAGCTTGTCCTATATTCACAGCTTTTTCTAAAAATACTTCAAAAAAATCTTCACAGAAGTTGTGAACCAAATGTCAAGAGGCAAAACTCTCTTTCTCAAATTTTGTCATGCTAAGCTGGAGCACACCAATACTTGAAATAGCACATGACCCACAGCACACCGTATGGATCTGAATGCAAGCAGTGCTCTGGGGTCTGTTTGTGTTTGTCCTCTCTCCCAGCTATATAATGTGAGTGTGGCATCCAGAACATGCTGCAGAAGAACGGGATAGGCACAGTGGAACAGAACAATAAAATAACAATAGTCTCATTTTATTTGTCAAGGGACAGATGAAATCATATTCTCTTACTTATTGCTCATAACTGAATGTTTCAGAGCTTAGTTACAATACTGCTGCGGTAGGTGGTGCTGAATATTTCATCAGTGGTGGGCTAGAAAACATGGAGTTGAGGACATTAGTTTGGAAACAGAGCAGCAAAGACGGAATTAAAAATTCAGCTCACCGCCTGCCCATTTGACTGGTACACAAAGCTCTGACGTAGCTTCTGATTCAGAAGCTGCGCCTGCTGTGCCACTCCCAGCAATAAATTGCCTTTTACATACATGGATAAGCAGTCTAATCAAGTAAAGATTGAAAGCAGGAGGTGCTCAAAGGAACTGCTGATTTCTCTTAAAGCTTGCCATTGCTCTCTCTGAGCTTTTGTACATATTAAACAGTATATGAGATTTATCAGAGAGAAAAGGTGAGTACAAACACCAAGGTAAGCACATTATCTGCTCACCTAAAATGTGCAAATAAATATCTCTTCTTGGATTTTTTGTGCCACTCTCCTATTCATGGGGCATACTCCTGCCCATGAGAAACACCACTTAACACCCAGAACTGCATCAGTCGCCAAGAGCGACCTGGTTTGTAGCATATTTGCATCACTGCCCCTTGAGAAATCAATTGCAGCCAGAATGCCAAATGGTCTCCTACATAAATGACCTGCTTATGCTTTCCAAGCTTTCTCACAACAGTCATGGTCAGACAGACCTCTTTCTGCAGCTCTTACACCGATCCTTTTTCCCCTGCCCCAACAGGAATGAAAGACAGACAGCAGTATTCTTCCTTACACATCTGGAATTTGCTGCTACGATACATGCCTGTCACCCTAATGGGGCATTTGCACATTAGACATCGGTCAAATGCTTAGCAAAAAAATCCTCACTTCATGTAAGTGCTGCTTTCTGCCCTTCAAAGTGCTGTGGGTCTCCCTACATATCTATATACTCAAATCAAGACAGTTTAAGCCAACAAACATCAGCTGGTGATGAACACCTGCAGATAAGGACTACAACTCTTAAATTTTACCCTAACTTCCTGCCACCATCTCTGCTGGAGTTCTGAAAATAACCAGAAGTTTTAAAAGGCTGCTTTTAGCGTAGAAGCTGGATTTCGTATTTTGGATTCCGCACCTTAAAACTGTGGCTGTAAACCTGCCTTTTGAGGTAGGAATTCAAACATATCTCTATTTTAAAGGAACTTCAAATGTCCAACTGCTGGATTGTGATTCATCTGATCACCAAGCATTAATTAAAAAATCTTCAGATTGTTGAAGAAAACATTCTCTACGCAGCTGCTATACCCCAGGAATAACTCTAGATTCTATTTCATATAATTCAAATTCATTGCTCAGCATAAAGACTTCAAAAATAACAGACAGAAACTACAAGTGTGCACTTTATCTTCTGGCACATATTCTGTGTGCCTGAACAGTTTCTAATGACAGAACACCACCTATTTCTTATGGATGAACCCTTGGTAGTGGACTGTCAGGAAGACATTCATGTATTTCTATTTTAGTTTCTAAAAAAAATAATTAAGTCCCAAGACCTGAGATTCAAATTTGTCAAGAGCTAATAATGGATAATCTGTGCAAAACAGGGCATAATATTTCTAGCAATGAGAAAATCTAGTAAAAAACAGCACCTTGTTAGATATTAGAGGAATTAAACCCATGGTACAAATTCACAGGAAACCAGATCTCATTTATTTTGCTGCCCACAGAACTACTTGTGCAATTTAGGGAAAAACTACCTTTGTCAGAGCTGTGTCTTCTAAAGCAAAGACTATTCATTCCTCAAAGTGAAAACTGTTCATGAAGAACTCTGCAGTAAAGCGTGGAACTAGAAACCAAAAGTATAATGAACAAATAAACTGAACTAAAACATTAGCCATCTAACTTGCATCCCAGCCTAAGAGAAGAACTATTTTCAACTATGCTTCCTTACGTGTATTTTATTATTCAGACACTGTGTGTGTGAGATGTTTTCACCTAGGCTTTTTTTCAACTTTTCCCCTGACTCAGACTTTCTAAGTCAATGGTTCTAACAAAAGATATGTAATGAAACATTTGTCTTTTTAATGAGAGTTGTAATATTTCTTGGGAATGCTACAAAGTGCAGTTTTGTTAGTATTTGACTCCTCCACAGATTCTGCAGCTGTAATAGATTTCCTTTTCCATGGGTTTAGGAAGAGTACAGAAACTAAGAAATTCAGTAATTTCAGAACAGAATTTGAAACAGACTGATCACTGCTCAGAGCTAGAAGGATACCGTCTCCTTTAACAGATGAGAATGACCTCAACAAACTTTCATTAAAACCAACATGTAAAACCAAGTATGCAGCCAATGTTACCAACAAGGAGAATGTTGATACTGGAAGAGAATAGACTTTCTTCTCATTGCTGAAAACTATTTTATCTAGTTTAGCCCAGATCTGATAGCACTTTCTTTAATTTTTGCTGCCTGGTTAACTCTCAGTATGAGAACTTATTTTTCATTTCTTTAAACTTTGCAATGCTTTGAAGAATTTTTAGTATACCAAAACCACAAAAAAATCAAGGTAGGGAAAAAGTACTCAAGAAAATGTGATAGACTTTTTCTTTGAGATATCTTAGCTTCTCTCAACTTATTAGGAAATAACATCCCACTACTTTAGGCTCTTTTTTGCCCTAAAAATTAGTATTACATTTGAGATTAGGAGTCAGATCTTTGTAAACCACTTAGCAGTTAATAGACTTTTGCTCCCATGTCACTTCAAAGCCTCTGGAATTCCCATTCCATTTCAGTATTTAGGAGGGAGAAGGAAATTTAGAAGAATGTCCTCACTAACAAGCATTAACATTACCAATAATAGAATAAATTGAACCTTCAAGCAAAAAACCCAAGGGAATGATAGTGGTGCAGAAAGAAAACAAACTGAGCATCTGGAAGTATCGGCATCTCCTTTGCTACAGAAATGATATGCTTTCAAATGATCAATAAAGTGTTTTGGTTTTTTTTTCCCAAACGGCTCTCTACAACTACAGACTGAGACTGTTGATTGTGCCTTATAATTGTGGAGCACAGAAACACATGGCGAAGGATAATTACTAATTCAGCTGTCTCTTTGTTTCCTCCCAACCTCTTCCCCAACTTCCCGATCTCATCCCCAGCCCTCTCAAGCTACCTCACAAGCAGAAGCACATCTCCTTCCTAACCTGTGCTTTGGGCAAATGAATCCACCACTACTCCCTGTCCATCCCCTCCCTCTGTCCTAAACGCATCTGAATCCTTCCTGCAATGGCACACCTCCCTCCCTTGTGTTTTAAAGAAATCAATAATTTATTTAGTCAGCTGAAGCTGGTTATTTGCAAAACTAATCCATTAACTGCCATTTGGCAGAGTATCACATCTTGTGAAAAAAGCTGTTCCAAAGACAATGACCGTCCCATCTCCAGCCTTTGCATTAATCCATGTATTATTTTTCTTAAAGAAGCACATTAGCAACATGATGTCCAGAGCTGTGGCTATGTCTGAAATTAATATAGGCTAAGTGAAGTTGCCTTGCTGCAATAGCAGAACACAGCAGAGTCCAAGTGCTGTGATGGAGATGTCTCTGTTGCAGCAATACCACAGCCAAGAGCAGGAACCTGAATGGGAGGCAATAGCATTCTCCCTTACAGCTATCTGCTGTCACAGCACTCAAGGAAGATGCAAACAGGAGACTGTTGCTAACTGACTGGTCCACAGCCCAGCCTGTGCGCTGGAAAAAATGGGAGGAGAGGAGATATTCATTTGACCAACTAGCTAAAAACTAAATGCACGACCAGTAAGATACTGCTAAGTTGCACTTAGCAACTTCCAGTTGATGCTTACACTTTTCTGGGATGCTTGGGTCTGCAACTAATTTTTTAGCTGGGGGATTTCCAAAATGTCTACATCAGATAACGTAAATACCTACCATGCAAATTAAATATCCAAACCCAGGAAGCGTTTGCTAAATCTCATTGTCAATGGCTGCTTCCATGTAGCATGGAGGCTCCAAATGTAAATTAACATATTTCAGGGAAAACATTTACAACAATATGATGATGCCACTGCACGGGTTATACAGGATTTGTCTTCCAAGTATTCATTATAATTTAATTTATAATTTAAGAACATTGGCAAGTTTACTCTCCTATTTTTCAGCTGGGACAGTATATCAAGAGGAGAAGTAAGATGCTGTATTTTAGCTTTTGGTGGTAATTTCTCATCACAGAAATAGTTCCCTTTTTCTAAATTAATAGTTTGCATACCGACTTCATCTTGGATCTCCTCTGCCACAGCAGGCACATTGTAGAGGAAGGAGAGAGACTGGTTCATGCGTTCATATATCACACGTAGATGTGTCATAACCTATGGAAATAAAAGTATTTTAAGGAGGGGAATACTACTGCTAATTTGACGTTATTACAGATTTTATAGGTTAGAGAGCAAGACAGTTCTCACTTGTGCTAGGTATAAGATTTCAGTATGCCCTACGTACTGAAACTGTCAAACCCGTTGCAAAATTCATCTCTCCTACAGCTGCTACAAAAATAGTGTTCTAGATGCTCTTCCATAGCAACTACCTGAAATCCCATGGGAATGCAGTAATTTAAAGTAGGGATTTACACTTGCTGTGGGGCAGAGCATGTACACAAGCAGCTATAGTGGCAGAAATCCACAGCCTCATTTACCCTTCAATAACATTTACATTTGCCCATACCCATAAGTTTCCACATAACACGCAAACCAAGTGAGGCACAATGACTGCTGCATCAAAATGTTTCACGTGTTTGGGTTTTTTTGTTTGGTTGTTTTTTGGGTTTTTTTTTAATCCTTATATTGCAAAAAGAAGCAGCTCAGTTCAAAAACTGTGGCTGGAACAGCGCTTCCCATTGCATCCTGCAGAGGGAACAGCAGCTGATTCTGCAGATTATGGCACACTTTTTTTACAGCTTATCCATTATGCCTACAATTTTAATTGCTGTTTTGAAAGCCAGCTACATCTTCAGTCTTTTTTTTTTTTGCTTCCTCACCCTCCATGATTTATGAAGGCAGCGTAAAAGCTGTTCCAAAACATCCATGTTAAGGACTTCGGTAACATTCAGCAGTTAAAATGCCATGAACAATAGTGCCTATTTTAAAAGAACATGTTAAACTTGGGTACATCAGTAATCACATTTATAGACACTACAAGTACCTCTGCAATGACTATAGAAAGGCTGGTTGCAGTCAGATGGCTACAACACTTCTGGTTCTGCCACTTCAGCTGAGGAAGCATAACCATGTGTGGTCGCTAAATCTATTCCTGACATTTTCCCAGAGGTATTATTTACCAAGCACTAATAAAGGCTCTGGGCATTAATGCTCTGGAGGGCTCCTCAGGAAATGTCCGCAACTGACTCACTGTCCAGACAGACAGAAAACCTGCTTTTCGGTTCTTCTCAGAAGACAAACTATACCCACCCTACTCCTACATCACTTTGCCTTAATCTTCTGCCGGAAAGCAAATTATTTTTTATTGCATGTAAAGCTGTCCACAGAAAGGAGTCAGGTATTTTTTAAAAAATAGGTTGACGGAAACTTCACAATGGCTATGAACAAACATGATCCCATTAACCCTCAGTGGAGATTACCTGAGATCTGATTTGGGCAGCTTTCTTTGGGTCTACCATGCGGACATGTTCAAAGTGTTTGAGAGTATGCTGTCTGTCCTTCTGCTCAGCACGCACATACTTCTTCAGCATGTTGAATACGTGACGAGGCTACAGGGAAGAAACAGGGAAAAAATGAGTTTAGTTTAGAACAACACAGGTTTTAGTTCCTTGCACTGGATATGTATCCCAAACCAAAAGCACTTGGCCAGCTGGTGCCTGCAGCTATCTTCTGAAGGCAGGTCTGACTACTATAAGGAACATCCACTCACTCAACCCATTCAGCAGGATGCACCATTGAATAGTAGTCGTAGGCAGTAAGTACAGTCCCTGGGGAGGGCGTTCAGATTTCCTCCCCAGTCATAGGGGAAAGTTTGGCTGTTGCATTTCCTTGTCTAACTGCTATACTACTGCACCAACAAGACAGCAAGTGTTACCTTAGCATGCTAGTTAATGGACACCCAATATCAATTTCCTTTGGGCTTTGCTTCCATTCTCTCCATCAGACTCTACTTCTCCTCTCCCCCAACTCAGGAAGCCCCCATGATCGAAGCTCCCAGTTTTGCAACCTTCATCACCACCAGTCAAATCCCTTCCAGAAGATCCCCCGAAACCCGGACTCCATTGGAAGCATTTCAGAGACTCCCCATATACACTCTACTATGCTGAATACTCAACCAGTATCAACATCTGTCAACTACAGTTAAACTTTAGCAACAGAAAAGATTACAACTGATAAGTTTTATCAACAGTAAACTGAATGCACACGTTCAGATTCAAATCAGAAGGTAACCTGCCCAACAGCTGCACAGAAGACCACGCAAAAGCACTACTCTAGCTAAGCCAAGGAATAATCATCAGACTTGACTGCAAAAGTTAAAAAAAGGGCGACCTACTTGGGTTCTTCTGAAGGTACTCAGCTTGGAAGCCAGATTTTGTAAAAATCTTAGCCTACATATATATTCCAGGTGATTTTATTTAGTAAAAACTATTAAATATATGCCTTAAGGCATATAACTGAATACGAAGAAAGGAAAGGTCCATAGCTGAAGGGAACATGAAAATATACACAGACTGATGGTAGAGCAGTGAAGACTAAGAAATGTGTATTTTTATATACTTTCCTACTCTGTACAATAATACAGTGCCAAAACAGGGAAGTGTTCTCTAGCATTCAGCTAAGACGCTCATTTTTAACTCAGTGTTTATGATGGATTCTGGAAATCCACACCCCTCCGCAGCTCTGCTTGTGCTGTTGTACTTGTGCATCCTACCTGAAGCTGCCAAGGAGTGAAAAGCATGAAGCTGAGGCAGGTGAGAAGAAGGAAAGGTGACCTTACTGTGCTGTAGATTAAAGAACGAGCAGAAGTGGTGAACAGCTGGTCTGGGCACTGGCAGGAAAACAGGGAAGAAGGTGGGGAAGTGACAAAATAAGCATCAGAGGCTCCGTGCACAGCTTTCTGAAGCAGGAAGAACCGTGGGCGAAGTTGAAGCTTTAAGACAACTTAGATTCACGGACAAATATAGAGCCTAAACTAATTTAACATTTACACAAGAGATGAATACTGAGCTACATGGAGCTCACAGATTTAAGAATCTCTTCAGCTTAAGAGAAGCAACAGATTTTAAAATGTCCTTAGACAGTAAAACAAAGGTTATCTGAAGAAGATTTGTCGGATAGAAAGAGAGAGATGTGAAGCCATTCCCTGCCAAAGGATTAAACTTAGTGGCTCCATGACTGAAAATTCATTCATGAGGAAAATAACCCCGAGCCCCCAAAGCCAAGCACCGAGGGATCAAGTTGCAAGAAACCGTGGACAAATGCTGGAAAGTAAGTAATCCTCACAACTTTATGGTAATGGCAAAACAAACTGAAATGCCAACTGTAAAGCGCTGTAGAAATAAAGGCTAGAAGACCAGAAAGCTTAACATCAAGAAAATTTTGAAGACAGAAAATGTTGTTACCTTTCCTGACACTTCAGCTTTCCTTGTCCCAAGACACATCAAGATAGCAGGTTTGGGCAGATTAGAGAGAAAATGATTAATTTCTATTTCTTCAAGAGATATTCCAATTTAAGTGTTATGTCTAACAACAGAAGGGTGTATTTTTTGTTTTCCCTCAGTATGTTTGTATTCACTGCAATATGTCAATGAAACTTTTACATTAAGGGTCACAAGCAGATTTGTTAATAGGATAACAATCTTGAAAATACCTGTCAAATACCACTAACAGTAGTAGTCATTTGGGTAAACTGGCACACCTTTAGCGCCTTCTCTAACACTGAGAAATGCCCCAGACTTATCGCTATAAAGGAGAAATGGATACGCATGCATCTAGCATGTCTGGCCAAGAAATCTTCCTGTAATGGCAGCAGAAATCCATAATTCAAGCATAGGACAATGCAGAAAGAGTATTAAATGCAAGGTGTTTCCTTGCAGGGGCAGCAACTTTGCACTGGATCAGGTCACACCTCCAACCTTCCCAACAACTTTGCAATGCTACTGCCTCACAGCTTCAGGGCCATGGCTGAAGGCTGAAACTGCCAGAGCTGGTGATGGGCAATGACAGCTTTCCACTGGGCTTTGCATGCCTGAGCATGGCCGTTACCATAAATGAGGACCAAGTTTTATAACTGAATGTAACTTTAATAGTTAAAAACAAACAAACAAACAAACAAAACCTATTAATTGATCATTTTCTCCCCTGTGCCTAGAACTGTAGACCTACTGCTTGCACAGTTTTAACAAATTTCCATATCAGCAAAAGTACCTCTCACCCCAAGTCCCACCTCTGTAATGCATTACAGACACGTTTTCCTTTAAATGTCATTATGGAGTGAAATGGTTCTGCTTAAAAATCCCACCCATACAAGCACTTTTTGCACAAATACTTTCAGCAGGAACATCGAGCAGTGATATGAACTCTTGTGATGGTAGAGCTATGATGAATGGTCAAGCACGGAGGTGAGGGAGGCTCCACAGGCTGAGGAGATGCAGTCAGACCCTGTGTCTGAAGCTATTATATCCATGGCCATCTATTACTTCGACCCTAGGCAGGAACCTTCAGATTAAATTATAAATGAAAGTGGTGCTATTATCAGCTAAATTAAGTTCCCAAGGCCTGAGCTCTGACACTGCCTATGGCAGAAGAACAAACGGCTGACATATCCCAGGGCCAGCTTGGCACCTCTCACTCTTCATAAATAATGTACCAACCACCAAACTTCATTACAAAATTCTGGGTTTAGCACTTGAAATTCTGCTGTGTGTTTTGCCAGGGAAAACTCAATGTATTCACATCTGTAGTCATCTAACAAAAAACATTTTGCAGAATACCTAACTTGTGTCAGCCACCAGGGGCTACCTAAGCCTCATGAAATAATTTCACTATTTTCAGTTGTCTGTACTTGTTTTGTTGGCTTGGTTTTTTTGGCTTTCCTCTGAAAGTGACCAGGATACTCCCAACGTGATTTCTGTTATTCCCATGTTTTGAGTCACCCTGGCCGACGCTGCTGGCGATTGTCCTTTATCCAGTGACAAGAATGGCCAGTGACTTCCTAAGCAACAGGATCCAGCACCAAATCAGAATGCGTGTTGTTTCATGAGTCCTCACGGCACACGGCACACACGGAATGCACCTGGCAAGGCGCATGGCAGGGTGAAGCAGCGTGAACGCTGCTGTTACATGCTGCTTCCGACTATTTCCAGCACACACAGTCACACCATTTGCTCCCCCTTTTCAGCAGATTCAAACACCTACTTTTTATCTAAACCCAAGCACAGATCAATCGTAGCCCTCTCGCAAGCTATTGTTACAGGCTGACAGATGTGCTGATGTCTGTGGGTATTTTAGTTGTTAGTTTAAAATCCTGTTTATGCTGGAGGATGTTGTCAAAGTATTATTTTATATATAGTTTTCGTGAGTATATTGGGACTTGCGTGTATTCATTTGGTACACAGTAGATATATTCACAGACTATGTATGCGGTCTACATAGACTACCTAGGCTATCTACCCAAAGTGTTTATTTGAAAGACAGTTCTTTCTGTGAATATAAATACGTACCAGGGCAGAGTTAAGGACCTTTATTGCAACGCCCTGGTTTGGAAGGTTAATTTGGTAGTCCTGACAGCTGGTTAACAGGTTTCCAACTGTACAAGACACAAGCCCAAATGAAGTAGAAACTGCTGATGGCTCCTTGACTAGCTGGTGGCGAGTTCCAGCCCCACTGACGCTGTAATCCAGTGCCTTTATTTCAGGTGGCATCAGTATCGAGGTAAGGTCACTCCCATAAAGGAATCATATATGAGATCTAAAATGCCTGAAAAAACAGTTGCTAGTAAATGAAATACATACGCATAAACATAAATACGAATATATATGCATGCAGATGCCTCCCCCATGAACTCTACATTGATCCCAGTCTACTATTTCAGATTTTAAGCGAGTGATGAAACAGTGCAATTTCATTGAGCTTGGAAAATGGAAACGTCAAATGTAGTTTGGATTGCTACAAATATAGTCTCCCCATGGAAATCCAAAATACTTACTACAGAGAAACAACACGAAAATCATATTAATGCACTTCTCTGTATTAAAATACAACTTTCCCGGCTCTGTGCCATGGAACTTCCAGGGGAAATTCTGAGCTGGCTTGTCATTTTGATCAAAGTTCTCTCTAAATCAGAGAGAAAAGTTTCACAGTGCTGTATTGTGCTATTTAATCTTGCCTTTGGAGAAAAGTCAATCACCAGTCCTTTCTGATTACTGCTCTTGAAATGTGCAACAATTACTTCTTTTCATTCACTTCTTAGGAATACCTTGTATACCGTATTAGGTATATATTTTACCTGCTATGTTATTAATTGCGGGTCATGTTTGACATAGGCATAGTAGTTCATTTTAGGAACATTCAAGAAAGGCTGGCTAGGATGAACACAAGATTTTCACTCATGGGTGAGACACAACTAAACCCCCATCCAGCTACCTTTCATGCGGAGTTAAAGATGCCTTCTCATAACTTCTGCTAATCTATAAGAACACGTTACCCCACACATCACAAATACATGGCTATAATGGTACTCAAAACCTCCCTTTGCCTACCCTCCCAA